TCGTAAGCAGATTTCATCATACAATGATTTTTCAGCCACTGTTAAAAGTGTTTCTCTTATTATTATATTTGAACGAAAAAACCAATTTATATTCTGAGTTCTAACAATATTCAATAAAACCATTAGAATTGAATCGATCAAAACAGTTTCATCATTTGATCGTACTGATTCAATTTCTTTATGAAATTGCTCATAGCCAATAATATAAATCAGTTCTCGTACATGATCACATGTTAATTGTTCTGTTGAAAAAAGTATTTTCATTTGTGTTCTATTCTTTTCACCTGACCAGTAACATTTAGCTATAACACCAGTCAAATGTCCAATACAAGGAACTAAATCTTTATTCCATGTTGCCACCAAAGAACTATGAATATAAATTATTTGTAAATAATCTTCGTATAAATAACGAAGTATTTCATCAGCAGTATAAAAACAACGATGATCTTTTGCACCTAAATATGAAAACAGTGAAAATAAACTTGTTTTTATATAGAATAACATTTTCCCTGAAAATATTGATTCTGGTATATATGAATGTCGAAGTTGTGATATATACATTTTAAATTGTTTATTCATGATATAATTACATATTATATACTTATTAATATAATCAGTAATTACTAATTTATTTGAATGAGGATTATCATGTAGAAAGTATGAATGATTGTCTAACCAAAGACTAACAATAATAATGAAAGGATCATTATCATCATTAGATTGTCTAATTTGTTCGAATATAATATTAATTTGATCAACAGTAACAGGAAAAAGAAGAATTGCTTTTTTACTAACTTCAATGATATTATAATCATAGATCAATTTTTTATTGAATAATGCGAGAGTATGAAATACTTCTTGATAATGTAATTCATTAATCCATTGATGAGAATTTTGACTTAATAGTTGCCATGCCCAATGTTCAAGTGTAAGTATTGAATTGAATGAATGAGAAACAAATAATGATAATGATTCATTAATTTGTTGTTGAAGAATAAGATTTATTTGATGAAGAACTTTAGTAGATATATATAATGATGAAAATTGAGTAATAAGTTCTTCGAAATTGTCATACATTTCTTTCTGATTGATATACTAGAATGTTTATGTAACTGTACTTTGAAATAGAACTCAATTGACTATTTATCGATTAGATTAATACAAAAAAGTAGGCATGTAGCGAACCCGAACGTTCGGGTTCGGTCAGTTCGGGTTCGGGTTCGGTTCGGGTTCGGTTTTAGGGTTCGGGTTCGGGTTCGGGTTCGGGTTCGGTCTCAAGAGTTCGGGTTCGGGACCGAACGGTTCGGGTTCGGGGTGGTATGCACTGACCTCCAAAAATTTAAGCATCGAAATGATTTTTTTGACATGTGTGATCACCGAACCCGAACAGTTCGGGTTCGGTTGATGTTTCATAATTTCCTTTATTATGCTTCCACATATGTCAGAAAAGTCATTTCGATGCTTAAATTGTTAGAGTTCGGTCCAAACTACCCCGAACCCGAACCCGAACCCGAACCCTAAAACCGAACCCGAACTCGAACCCGAACCCTGAGACCGAACCCGAACGCGAACCCGAACCCGAACTGTAGTTCGGGTTCGCTACATGCCTACAAAAAAGTATATTTTGTTCTTTTTTCTCTTTTTTTTATAATATTTATTGACGTTGTTTCTACCAGCATTTTACCTTTAAGTACAA